GCTATACGATGGAGCATGCCGAGCACATAAAGTCGGACAAATGAAAAAGATCTAAAGGGGCACAGAGAACAAAACTTGTCGACTATAGTAATCCGAATGGAATGGTGCAATCTACCTGTTTGCTCCATCCCTCCTTGTTGGTGAGTGTCGAATCGACTACTCCCTTCAGTTTCTTGCGCAACAACCGGTCGGCTTCGGCGGGACCAAACTTGGCACTCGGCTTCGTCATTGCTCGCGTCACCGAGACACCCAGGAGGAGGCCTTTGGTGACTTTCCCTTTCCCTTTGGCTTTTTTCAACCGACCGGTCCCAGTCGTCTTTAAATCAGCGTCCAGATGGATCAAGTAGTCGGTCATAGCACCTCCTTTTGGCCAGTACTCTATTTCCATTTCTGTCTATTGCGGGGGCAAAAGGGAGATGCAATGGTGAATAGAAGTCTTGTGTCAGCATTGACCCCCACAAAATGCATGCAAGAAAAAACTATTAGTCATTCCAATACATTCTTCCTACGTTTTCTGACGAGACCAATTTACTAATTCCTTCTAAAAATGTTGCCTCTAAAATTTAGAGCAAAAATGATAGTCGCTTGACTGCTAGAACTTATCGATAATATTTAGAACCAACTTTCTCTATCCAATTCAATAAAAGAGTTAATATCAATCTCTAGATCACCTTGAGCGATATGGGCTGACTTAGGTATTAGTCAAGACTCATTGATATTCTCAATAATAATCCATATCAAAGATAAAGAAAATCCTCACTTGCGCTGAAAATACATGTCTGCATAATCAAAAAATATCAAAATAAATTGTGATTTGGATGAAGCTTGATCTATTCAGAATATCAAATTTTTTCAATGACCGTCTGACAACTATGGCTGTATAGGGAAGCGGTAGCGTAGCCATGATACTTACTAATGTTGATAAAACCTACGAAGTCTGGTGAGGTCAAGGTGAGGTCGAACTGGCAATCCATTTTGGATGAGATTGCCTTTTGAGAGGCAAGGCTAAGAAAAATTCACTCGACTTCTAAGGCCCACTTGTAACATTATGCGAAAACTCATCCGTAAATCCTTAAATCGCTTCGAGCTACCTCTTATTTATGTCTACCTATCACTTAAAATATCAATAAAATCGTAAAAGTGACTATATAGTTAGGAGGAAGAATTGGGTGTTTAATTGAAGATATTAAGACGAAGATGTTGTGATTTCTGGTATGGTCGGAGTCTCCTTTCGATTTATAGAAGTGGGTTGCCCTCGTGGTCGCAACTTGGTCTTGTTGCCAGGGCGACCTAGTAGAACGCACCTAGTCCTAAGTCGTCTGCCATAGTAGTTGTCATATTTCCCAGCATCAGACAGTGGACTGGGTACACTCTCGAACGCTTCATCGGCATCATCAGTGAGTCTTGTCATTCTCCGCACCAAGCTACGAACTCGTCAGAGACAAGTGAAGTCAACTCCTTGACAAACTTTCTGCCGAAAACGGCTACACTATCACTCCTTTCTATCCTGGCCTATCTATCCACTTCTTACCCTATCATCCAACTTTCGCCCTATCACAACTTTTCATTTGTTTACATTCCACTCATCAAAATGTGTGCACTTTTGTGGAGAATCTAGTGCGGCCTCATATCACCTGTTATTCACACAGACACCCTCTCTTTCGATTGTCTAATCCCACTCGGGGCTACAATCCGGATCTCCCTCATGGTCTCGTAGATCTGTTTCTTATGGAGCATGATCACCTCAAGCCTACGCTTAACGGATGTAGAATTCTAGAACAAGGAGCTAGACAAATTGACCAGAATATTCCTCAGCAATGGCTGCCATAGCGAAATGATACAAAGAAACATG